CTTGGAGGCTACAGCTGAGGCTGTTCATCTTCCATGGCAGAGATGTGACTGTAGCCAGTCTGCTCACAGCCCTCATGGTCAGCAGGAGCCTGGGAAAGAGCCGTCTGGAGTGGAGGACTCACCTGGGCACAGGACGAGGAGAAGCCAGCAGGTGCTTACAGGAAGCAAACCACGGCTCTGCCCCCTCCATGCTCCAAGGACCAACCTAACTGCGAAGTTGTCCTTGGCTTCTGTCAGCACAGCCCAGGACTAGAGCAGGGGCTGCTCTGATGCCCTGACTCACAGGATGCCTGCCTAGTCTCACCAGCCTAAAATCGAATTAAATCCATCCAAGGCACTGCCTGTTCCCACGTTCATCAGAAAAACTCGGGAGTCACCCCAATGTGCCCTTCCCAGGAAGGTGATTGCCATTATGACAGGAAGCGTTTCTGTCCTGATGTGCTGATGAAATGCCAACTCCTAGTTCTGATGGCTAATCTCCCAATGCCAGAGTCCCAGACTGTCCAGACGAGGCTCTCTTCTGTCCTCACACTTGGACATCTCACAGCACAGCGATCGCTGCGTCAGCGTTCTGGGATTAGGACTACTAGCCCCATCAACTTAGCTCAGTGTCACCCAGGTGTTAGGGATGCCATGCCCATCTTTCTGACTCTTCCTGCACCCTCCTATCACATCCGATACCGCAGGGGCAGGGCGCCGGTCCTTCATCTCTGAGTTCTCAAAGAGTCCACGTGTAAACACATGGCAGCAGGGGCTGGACAGTGGCACAGCTGTGACATGCAATGCTCTGTCAAGCTGATCCACATGGGGAGGTTTTGGGTTCAGTTCCAGAGACCTCCCTGAGGGCACGTGTGTTTCTATGATTCAGGGCTGGCGGAGGTTGGGGGTGGATCGCGGTGCCAAAATCTCCTTGGGGGTGCTGTCTCTCTCTTGCTCATGGAACCAAGAAAAATTTTATACAAATGACAGCTTAAAAAGGGGGAAAAATGGCAGCAGTCATTCTGCCTTGGAGAGGTGTGTGGTGACTCACTAAATCACAGATTCGAGTTTTGATTTCCTGTCAATTACGATACTGTCCAGAACTGACCTCCACCCCACCCAGGAAACATGTGGCCTGGCCTTCCAGAGGAAATATTGGCCCACATGCAGGGAGTGGCCACCTTCCAAGCCTTCCAAGCCTGCTCCAAGCCTGTGACCAGTGAGAGGAGCACTCAGGTTCCACCCCTCGCCCACGCCCAGCAGCTGTGACATCAGCACCCCTCTGCCATGCATGGAATGCTCCAAAATGGCCTCCCTGCCAATGCCAAATAGTATCTCTGTGTGCATACGCCCAGCACAGGCTGTTCGGAATTTACCTCTGCCCTGCCCTAAGGCCATCTTCCCAAATAAAGAGAGAGTGTCCAGTCCTACATGTGGCTTTGACAAAGCAGCCACAGCCACCCTGAGCAGCTCAGATGACACCTGTTCTGGTTGCCCACTAGGGCCCAGCGTGTGGCACAGGACACAGGCAGGAGAGCCAGGGGGTCGGTAGTGAGGATGCCCTAAGCCCATGGCCTGAGATCTCGTCATACTGAAAACATCAAATCTAGCCAAAGGAGGTAATATGGATTCAGTTCAGACTGGCTCAGTGATCGACTGTATTCGCAGTTCAGTGTTAAATGCTGACCGACAGACAAGACGAGAAGAACACTTCCTACTTTCCTTTGTCTTTGCACAGCAATGTTCACGTTTGCACGGTCAGCTTTGGGAGGATATGCTGTCCACCGACATTATCAGAGCTTGCTAGCTATAGACAACTGTAAGATTTTAAAATAATTTAGCCGGGACCAGCAGTTAGCGTAATGGCTATGTGGCTGGACTCCCACGTAGTCGACTGCAGTTCGAGTCCCGGACCCGGTGGCTTAAAGTCATGCCTGGCATGTGTGCATGCGTGCCCAAGATCCCAAGAGGAGAACGGAGGAGAAGGGATTGCGGTGTGGCCATCCCCCTGTGGGGGGTGATTTCTCGCTTCCTATCTCTCTGTCTCTGTCTGTCTGCCTGGCGAGCGCACGCGCCCTATAGCAAAAACCTATCCAAAAATAAAAAAAGATTTTGCCCATAAGTACTTACATTTAAGACTGACTTTTTGGCCCCATGTCTGCTTTAAAATATTGTATTTCAGGGCCAGCAAGTGACATGTTTCTTGGGGCACTGGATTCCCACATGGTCAACCACGGTTCAAGTCCCGGACTAGTGATTAAAAATCATGCCAGGTGCATGTGTGTGCATGGCCAAATTCCAGAGAGGACAATGGAAGAGTATGGATTGTAGGATGGTAGTCATCCCTCCTGGCGGAGGAGGGGAGTGAGTTCTCACTTTCTCTGCCTCTGTGTCTTTAACTTTCTCCAGCAAGCACACATGCCCTATAGGAAAGACTTTAAAAAAAAAAAAAAAAAGATTATGTTTCACAGTAGAAATTTCTCGTAGACAATAAACCTCAGTTATCCCTGAGCGGATGATTTTTCTTGCCCTATATGATAAAACACATGGCAATGTTTATCTCACGCAGCAGAATATAACTCTCTGTTACTGGAGAATGAACAGTCATAACTGAGCAGTATAGAATGGGACAGTGAAGAAAATGAGGTTAAATTTGAGGGGCGTGTCTTTATAATTTTCTAGCTTGGGACTTCTAGAATAAGTTCCCAGAATACTTTGGACACCTCAGAACTCTCAGGCAGCTTTCGCATGAAGTCCTGAGCACAGAGGCCCTCAGTCCTGTATGACACGCAACGTGAGCATCATTGAAGAAAGAAAACCCAACATCACAGGCCTGAGCTCGAGTACGTATCAGATGCTTTATATTCCTTCAGAGTTTTCAGCCAAATGGAATTCTTTTGATGTAACATTTTCTTGCACAAATTATAAAACAGAAAAATAACCAGTGACTCATTTTCAACATTACTAAACACATCCAAAATTCTCTAATATAACCAAAACCAGGATCAAAGCATTTCTGAATTTAAATCAATCATGCCGTTCATAGTGGGTTCGTTCTGAACTATGGATATTACATGTTCCCCTTCTTGATGAGCTGAGACTGAAAAAGGAAAGCAAGGGATGAGGAGAAACAACTATTTACACATTTTAGCAGGGCACCGTTATTTCCGGGAAGACTATGGAAAAATAGATATCTTGACTAGAACTTTGAATAGGCAAAGATAATGCAGTTTGGAGAGGAAAAACTATTAAGCAGAAAAACTCGGTTTTAATGAATATAAGAGGCTTCGTTTTATGGAATTATGAGTTAAAGTAGAGCTTATAATTATAAATTATGAGCTTTGAGTGAAAGAAACCAAGCACAAAATGCCACATATTGTGTAATTCCGTTTATGTGAAGTATCAGTAATAAGCAAATCCATGAAGGCAGAAAGTAGATTAACGTTTTCTTAGCGCTGTCAGGGAAGGAAAGTGGACAGGATGGAGTATCTTTGTGTAGTGATGAAAATACAGTATTCTGAAATCGGATAGTGACAATATTTGCTTAACTCTGTGAATACTTAAAAAAAACACTAAATTTTATATTTTAATACGGTAAATTGAATGATGTGTGAGTTATAGCTTAATAAAACATGTCAGCAAAAACGATAAGCCTCTAAGACCAGCAGGTAGTTCGATGGTTAAGGTGGCTGAATCCCATGTGACTGACTTCACAGCTTCAGTCCTGACCATGGCACCTTGAAAACCATGCCAGGTGCATATGCACACATGCCCAGAATCCTGAGAGGAGAATGGAGGGGAAGCGACTGCAGTGTGGCTATCTCCCCTGGGAGGTGACTTCTTTCTCTCTTCCTCTCTCTCTCTCTCTCTCTCTCTCTCTCTCTCTCTTTGCCAAGCACACACACACCCTCTATCAAAAATTTAAAAAAAAAAAATTATAAGCTCTAGGAAGTAAATCCAGTGGAGGGGGAAAAAAAGAGTTGAAATAAAACATAAAAGACAAAGCAGGTTATACAGAGCTCTTCTCAGAGTGGGTTTTTTTTGAGCTCTTTGACCAGTGGATCTACATGTGATTACTCTCTTTGCTCCTTTTGCAGAAAGAGTCTTACTAACTAGCCATTGATTTAGGGACAGTGGGTGATCTTTGCCATGATTCTAGAGACAAGGAAATTGCTCATTGCCTTTCCTTTAAGTGTTATTACGGACTCGGGAGGAAAGAGTCTCTCCTGATCTGATGAGTCATGTGCAGGTCGGTCTGTCCACTGCACACTGAAGTGTCTACTTCTCTAGAACATTATCTTCACAGGGACAGACTGTGCTTATGCTTTCTAGTGAGCGGTCTGGCCTTTACTTGCTAATTAAATGAAAAAGCCTTAAAATTCACAAGACTCATCTATTCAATGACTTTGCTATTTGTACTATGATCACTTTTGCAGGAATTAGAAGGACTAGTTGAAAAGCCAACTAAAATAAGCGCACGTTTTACACAGAAGAAAATGTGTTTAGATGATTGGTTAATTATTAAGAGTTGAAGGACGATGACATAGAGAAAGATATCTTTTTACCTCCGATGGTATATCCTGAGGATATGTTTATCAAGAAGATCACTCGAAGCTCTCTCTTCCGGAACACAAAACTATTCACCTAAATTCTGATATATTGTAGAGAAACATGTCCTGAGCTCCCATTTTGCAGATAGAAGCCGAACCGGGCGGGAGAGTCAAGGCTCTTGTACCCCACAGTGCGTTAATGGCAGAACTTTCCCCCCAAAGCCTCCATGTGCCCATTCATAGACTAGGCTTACAACCTGCAAAGACTGTCATGACGGTTGCACGTATTAGCACATGAAAAACCAAACACCTGAGAAGTGTTTGACAGAGAGCAAGCACTCAAGAATTATTCCAAATGCAGATGACTGCATTAGTATTTCTAGAAAACTAATCCCCGAATGTAGAAATGAAAACTAGGACGACATGGGGAAACCCCGCGGCCGGAAGTCACCGCCTGTGCGCCGTACATACCTGCGGCAATGTAGGAGCCTCCCCCCACTTTGTAGAGGATATGGCTGGCGAAGGGGGCCGCGCAGATGATCAGAAAGCTCCCGGTCACAACAGCGAATACCCCCAGCAGCATCAGGACTGCCCAGAAGCCACGGTAAACTGGAGATCCCGGGAGAAAAGGAGAAAGAAAAACACACTTAGACGGTGAGAATGGCAGACTGCCACATGGTAAGTGTCATCGGGCTTCATTTTCCTCCTTTCAGCCAGAGCACTGTTGGCTGGAATCCAGGCTACGGGTCTGGAATGCTCTAGAATAGATCTTACCAGTTGACCTTGGGCACAATGATATCTGTGTTGGTGGGATTCAGTCAGCTCCTCGAGCTCAGAATTTGCACCACACATGCTTGAAATAGTATGGGAGATTATTTCTCTGCCCAGAGTTGTCATTTAGAAGTAGAAGCATCGAAAGCTCTAGAAAGAGTATCATGGGTGAATGACTAGGTTGGAATACATGTAAGTATTTCACACCAAATGCACACAGACAGGAAAAGGTCTTCACACGATTTATAAACACCCCCTCATGGGAACCAGCAGTTAGCGTAATGGCTATGTCGCTGGACTCCCACATAGTCGACCGTGGTTCGCGTCCCGCACCCGGTGGCTTAAAACTCACACTGGGCGTGTGTGCGTGCGTGCCCAAGATCCCGAGAGGAGAATGGAGGAGAAGGGATTGCGTCGTAGCCATCCCCCCGGCGGGTGATTTCTCGCTTGCTGTCTCTATGTCTCTGTCTGTCTCTCTGGTGAGCGCACGCTCCCTATAGCAAAAACCTCTCAAAAAAAAAAAAAAAAGAAAGAAAGAAAAAAACGCCCCCTCATTTGCTACTAAGGTATGTTTGTACCACAGTGTTCCTTTAGAAGCTGATGAATAACATCCCAAACCCCAAACAAAAAGTACACTTGTATTTCCAATACATTTTGAATGGATTGGAAAATCCTCAAAGGCAGTAAAAGGTGCAAGCAAAACTATTTTTAAAAAATTATTTAAAGTTTGCACAGCTATGTTTCCCAAGCAAATCTAAGATTTTACATTAGGTCTATTTAAGGTATGCTACTTTCTGTTAATATTTGTACTGAGAAAGACTCAAAAATGACAAACACAGTCGTCTCTTAGTCAAGGACAAGCAAGGCTGACTTAATTGGTGCAGCTGGTGATGAATGAATTGTGGGGCTGGTGATTATAGTAATCAAATTAAAAGACATTCGAATGATCATTTTTGAGCTGGATAATTCTCGATCTATTAAACAAATTCATCATTTCCCAAAGGTTCAAACATTAAAATAAATTCTTGTTCGTGTAAATGAGAAAAAGCTCAGAGACACTTGTCGGTTCGATGACAGTATTTGTAAGAAAATAGAGGAATTTTTAAGAAAGACAGAGAGGCACTGGCAGGTGGCATGGTGTTGTACTCCCACATGGCCAACAGTGGTTCAAGTGTCAAACCCGGCAGCTTGCTTTCTCACTTTCATTCTCTCTCTCTCTCTCGCCAAATTAAACAACTAAATTAAATAAAATAATTCTTTTAAAAAAAAAAGAGGGCAAAGATACACAATAGTTGAATGTAAAATGAAAGAGAAAGAATAAAGAAAGCAGAGGCAAAGAATGGTTTTCTTCATCAAGCCTACCTGGAAAGGAAGAAAAATATCAATCAACTGGGATCTTAGAGGAAGAGGGTGAGATGCTGGAAATATGGAGAAGTTGCTGCAGTTAACAGGGAAGGACTTTTTGCGAGCATCGCTAAGTCCTGAAGGAATAGAACGCAGGTTTCTTACCTCACTTGCCAATGCTGGCACTTGGCTGTGGCTTGTGTTAAGATATAGCCTGGGTTGTAGTCAGCCTCGGCAGGGAGCAGAGTAGCAAAGAAATACAGAAAAGCTGGGAGAAGGGGCCTAGAAGCCAGAGAATATAAAGCAAATTCCATAGAGGAGAGAGGCAGAGAAGACTCTAAATTCTATGTGTGAATCTGCACAACTAGCAAGCTCATCCGCCAGGTGCACATGTACAGAAAATGCCCAAAGCCTATCAAAGTCCAAGGAAACTGAATTACAGTATAAAAACCTCCCAAGTACTAGAGCAAGCCCCGAATGGTGTAGGCCCTAGAGTTTGAAAGGCAACCTGAGCAAGAACGAGAGAGACAGAGAGAGAGAGAAAGCAAGCCACAGGATACAACCTAAAACTACAGGACAGACCAACAACCATGAAAATCTGACCATTTCTCCAAAGATCAGGCAGTCAGCAATACCAACTCAGAGATGAGCCTGCTGTGTAAATTACCAGACAGACATTCAAGTAGTTATTAGAACCGTTTGGAAAAAACTAAGATGAATACTCTTTTTTTTTTTGGAGAGATTTTTGCTATAGGGTGCGTGCGCTCGCCAGACAGAGAGAGACAGAAAGCGAGAAATCACCCCCAGGGGGATGGTCACGCTGCAATCCCTTCTCCTCCATTCTCCTCTCGGGATCTTGGGCACGCACACACATGCACCCGGCGTGAGTTTTAAGCCACCGGGTCCGGGACTTGAACCGCGGTCAACTACGTGGGAGTCCAGCGACATAGCCATTACGCTAACTGCTGGTTCCCTAAGATGAATACTCTTGAAAGGAATAGAAAGAGAAAAATAGAAGAGCCTGTAAAAATAGAACTAAATTAAATTTTTAGAAAATGTATCTGACATTTGAAAATTCATGAAAGCAGCTCAATAACAGAATAGAGATGAGAAAAGAAAGGGGAAGTGACCTTGAAGATAGAGCAATAAACATGGGCCAATATGAAAAACAGAAGAGGGGACCAGCAGATGGCGTAATGGTTACATCACTGGACTCCCATGTAGTTGATCATGGTTCAAGTCCCGGACATGCCAGCTTAAAACTCATGCTGGGCGCATATGCATGCATACCCAAGAAAAAGGACTGAGGTATGGTCATCTCCCCTGGTGGGGGGGGGTGGTGGTTTCTTGTGTTCTGTCTCTCTATGTCTCTCCAGTGAATGCAGGCACCCTATAGCAAAAAATCTCTCCCTCAAAAAAAAAAAAAAAAAAAAGAATAAATGAATGAATGAAGAAAAGAAAAAAGATTGAAAAGCAAAGTGGGGTTTCAGAGACATGTGAGACAATGCTCAGCATTCTCATATTTGTGTCACTGGAGTTCCTAAAACAGAGGCAAAAGATATCGGTGCAGAAAAGTATTCATAAAAATGCCAGAAAATTTACCAAATGTGGAAAAAGACCAATTTATAGATAAAAGAAATTCAGAAAATGTCAGAAAATCAAAAGAAATCATCCCAAAATAATAACAAAATTACCAAAGAGGGCTGGACAGTGGCACACTGGTAAGAGATGGGGCTCTGCAAGGCTGATCCTCATGCAAGGGTTCTGGGTTCTCGTCCGGAGACCTCCCTGAGTGTGCTGAGCACCCATGTGCCTAGGACCTGGGCTGAGTTGAGGCAGCTAGAAGTAGATCGTGATTTCAGGACCTTATGGGGGTTCTCTCTCTCTCTCTCTCTGAAGAAATAAATAAACTTTGAAAAAATTACCGAACAGCATTAACAGAGAAAAGTTCTTGGAAGCAGCCAGAGGAAAATTATGACATATTCCAGGTAAAGAATAACAGCCCTGATAACTGCAAATTTCTCATCGGGAATGATAGAAAGCAAAAAACATGGAACAACTTTATTTTTTAAAAGAATTATTTATTCAATTGTTATTTATTATTATTATTATTATTATTATTATTTTAACTTGACTGGAGAGAGAAAAAGAGAAAGTCAGAAAGGAAACCACCAGGTTCAAGACTCGAACCACAGTCAACCATGTGGGTATCCAGTGCCTTTACCACCACACCACCTGCTGGCCCCAGAACAACATTGTTAAAATACTGAAAGAAAAGACCTACCCGTCTAAAACTCTGCATCTAGTGAAAATATCTTGGAGAAATAAGGGGAAATAAAGCCACTATTAAGGAGGAAAACATCGGATTTGTCACCAGCAGACATGTTCTACAAGAAATGGAATGGAGGTTCTTTAGACCAAAGAGAGTACACTTGAAATTCAGAAATGATGAAAAAGAAATAAGGAGTTAAAATCTGTATAAATATAGACCATTGTTCTCTTAACTTTTTTTATAAATAAAGTTTTTTTAAATAATTATTTTATTTAACTTTATTCATTTGAATTTCACCAGAGAGGGACAGAACAAGAGCGACAGTGAGAGGGAGAGAGAAAGAAAACAAGCTGCTGGGTCCAGGACTCGAACCACAGTTGGCCATCTGGGAGGTCAGCACCCTTAACCACCATGTCACCTGCCAGCTCCTGTTCTTTTAACATTTTAGAAATAAATTTGACTGTTGAAATAAGAAGATATTGCCAATGTAACACAGCAAAAAAAAAAAATGTAAGTTTTGGAATCAATGTGATCCTAGGGTTTGTTTTGTTTTGTTTTGTTTAAGGTTTCTGCCATAGGGCGTATGTGCTCATTAAAGGGAAAGTGAGAAATCACATCTCAGGGAGAGGGCCATGACACAGTCCCTTCTCCTCCATTCTCTTTTTGTGATTTTGGGCACACATGCCATCATACCCAGCGTGATTTTCAAGCTTCTGGGTCCAGGACTTGAACTGCGATCAACCATGTAGGAGTACAGCATCTTAACTACTATACTGCCTGTTGGCCCCAGTTTCTTAGTATGGAATGCAGTATTCTTTAGGTAGGTTTATAGTGAGCATTAATTGAGGTAATACATGGAAAGTGGGTGCATGCAGTAAACACTCAAATATATTGGCTATGATTATTATTGTTACACACCTTGTAATAAATATTATTATAAACAATGCAGTCGACACCAAGAGATATATTCTATTCTAATCTCTGTTATGGGGACAGACTTTCAATTCATATTTTTAAGACCCCTCTCATGTAGGTCTTAAACAAATGAGAGGGTTCTTAAGTTCATAGAAAATGCTTATTATGGAAAAACTATGAATGGATTTTAAAAAATTTCCACCAAAATAAACTTGTACTGTGATATATAAACATATACATGTGTGTGTGTGTATATATATATATTTGTTAAATAATTTTATATAATGTTAAGGTACATATAAAATCA